CATATATATATATATATATATACACATATATATATATATATATATACACATATATATATATATATATATATATATATATATATATACACATATACACACACACACACACACACATACATACTGTACATACACACACACATACACACACACTGCAGGTGGAGCAATTATTTACAGTGATTTGTTCTGATACTGAATGGGAGATCGTAGAAAAACGAAGATCCAACAGGGTAATAAATGATACTCTGAGTACTTCTGGAGCAGAACACAGAGGATGCCAGATGACTGGGCATCCGGACAGCATCACGAGTACTTTTCACTCCCACAGTAAAAGGTAAGCCTCAAATTTAGCTGTTCTACATTGTCCTGAACGTCCCATTTAATCTACGCTTACATATGTTTAAAAGAAAAAAAAAAAAAAAGTTGAAAGTTTTAGTGTAAAATTATAGACAATTATCTAAAAATATATAAAAACCTAGGCTAGGATTTGATTAAGACACACAGATGTAGTACAGCCTGCAAACACCACATCTGAGGATCAAAATAGAAAATTACAAAAGGACACTGCCAAAGATAACCCAAATAAACACGAGCTTCAGTCAGATATTGTAGCTTATGCTGAGGTTTATCCATTTATTTCCTACAAGATCCACCCACATCCCTCCCCCACCCCTAAGTGTGACATCACTAATAGCAGCTTGTCTCGTCAGATGGCATAATGGTGTACAAGAGTTCTGAGGTATAGGCTGGAGAGGTGACGGGGATCACATTCTTTTTGGCATATGTGCGGGTGCCAGCGTCGAGGCGGGACTCCGTGCGGACCTCTCCGTGCGGCGACGTGGTCGGTTACGGTCTTTCTGTTGTGCAGAGCTTAAACCCTCATGTGGAGCGAGCCCAAGCCATACAGCTATTTGGTATAGACAGAACAAACATGGGACACAGACAGCACTATACCCTCCCGGGGAGTGTTACATGGTATCCTTCAATGCCTGTGAAGTAAATGCAGAAAAGAATGTTTGTCAGAACCCGTGATGGTTTCTGTGAACTTCATTACCTTGGAGAGACATTTCTAAGGCTAAAATCGATTTTACATTCAGACAATTAGACCGATTTTGTGGTTGTCATCCTCCAATAGCTTCTGAAAATTAAAATGAAAAGAAAAAAAAACAGCTTTGGGTCATGGCCTTAAGAGGCACCCATTCTATGGATCGAACCAAGACAATTACGTACCACTTTACATTCTCACAAACAAACATAAATATATCAGCAGACTGTACAACCAACAGGAAAGGCACTAGAAAACATTAAATACCACTTTAGATTTGTCAGCTTGCTTTCATTTTCAAATGTAAAAATCTAAAAGTTTATTTTAACATTAGTTTGAAAAATAAACCTGTGAAATATTTAGAAAATTTTTTGCATCTCTTGCCACATTTAGAGAAAAGTTACAAAAATGCTAATCATTTTTAACAAAAAAAAAAAAAAAAAACTATGCAATAACACTTTCAGACTGGTTGACATTATCTCCTAAACTTCACTTTGTAAATAGTAGACCTTCAAATGTGGGTAAACGGCTTTGGGCTCAGCGAACGGACCTATGATGATTCTCTGTAGACTCGGGAGAAGAAAATAAAAAAGAAAATTAAAAAAACAAAAAGCAAAAAGGTCTACAATGAAGCACCTGCTAATGATTAAAAGAACAAAACATTGGTTAAATGTAGTGTTGACTGTACTCAGATTTGATCCAGAAAGTAATGTTTAGGGGAGGGGATGAGAAAGTCACAGTGCTGGCAAATTTTAAAGGTGAGTGTTTTAAAGAAAAAAGAAAACAACAACAAAGGGTTAACAGGTGCATCAGCGCAGGGTTTCCTAAGCCGCTCCTCAGGGATCCCCAGACTGTCCGCATTCTTACTCCCTCCGGACTGAAGGAAGGATCCCAAGGACAGAGCTGGGGAAACTCTACATTAGGGCATATTCTTGTGGTAAGATTGTAGCACTTCTGGCAATTTCTTCCAGTCCATTCCCAACCGGTGGGGGGGGGGCGGGCGGGTAGGGAGGGATGGAGCACAACAGTCCTGAGCGACAGTCACTGCGTTTCCACTCTGCTGTACTTCACGTGGCTCCACGGCAGCTGGTGCCAGGAGACGGGCAGCTGGTACTTTCGGGGCACGATGCCACGCACGTTCTCCTCCAAGTACTGGAAGAACTGGTACCACCAAACGCGTGAGAAAAAGTTGCCCATCGACGTTTTTTTCAACACCTGAACAGATAGAGTAAGAGAGTCAGCAGACCCACACACACAACGCTCAGATGGAATATGAGAAGCATTATTTGCTACATCGCAGCTTTCGGAATCTGACACAGGCAGAAGTTTACAAAGTTAACTTAATTACTAGCTAAAATAGTTAATCGTCTGCCTGGTGCTCGTTCACCAGTATAGCCCAGCCTGTATGTGAATAACTCAGCCCCTATTTTAATTAGGACCAGATGCTGGTTTGTTTTTCCCCGATGTCCGCGGACCAGTTTACCTTGTACAAAAATGTCATGGACCAGTAAAACAGATGGGGTGGGGGGGACAGATTTTAGCATTTTCTTGAATTAACACAGGACACAGCATTTTATTTTTCAGTATGGGGAGGTCCAGTAATATATTACAGGACATACAGGGTCTCCCAACTCCATAATCAGTGTTCCAAAGCCCCCCACCCCCAGTCGATTTGCTGTGACTGAGAGTGCAAGCAAGAGTCAAAGCCTGTCACAGCACAGCGCAGCGCAGCACAGCATCTATATATTTATGGGGACTCCCCATTCCTATGGGCACAACCCTAACCCCAACTATGACATCTTCAACCCCTACCCAGCCCAAACCTTAACCATAAGTCACCAAACAAAATCCAACATTTGGCATTGCTACTTCTGTGATTGCAGTCCGAGATTTTTAGAAAACCGAATTACCCCTTGTGGGGACTGGAAAAAAGGTTTTTTTAAAAAAAGGTTTTTATTACGTTGTGGGGACATCTATTTAATTGGTAGTAAAACTTTGTGTTGCCAATACTGTAATTAAGCTGTAAGCTAATTTTTTCCTGTTGCAAGGTGAATTAATGGCTACTTCGGCTGGTCTGGCACTGGATCTACCGCTGGAGTATAAAGGTGATTTACTACAGTTACAATGTGATGTAACTAGTTACAGACCAACATCTGAATGATCAAACAGCTACTTGCCAGCAATTCTGATTACAATTCAGTTTGCCTATTCATACAAAGCCACTTTATTTGCACATTTCATGTATCGCGTATTTCCTTTATACGTTTAAAAAAATTAAATTACTATTTTGACTAATCTGAACTTCAAGGTTAAACTCGAGTCATGACAATGCTCAAAGAATTTAAGACCTGAGAACATGGTTTCTGAAAACCTTTGATAACCTCAAGATTAATCATCTGCATATGCTGCAGGTTAAATCAGAAGGGTCATGAAAAGTGCAAAGTACATATTTTTGCAATCCAGTGTTCGTGATCACTGTGTAATGGCGTATAAATCACCACTGAACTGAAGCCGGGGATATAACAGAACTTACATCAGGCCCTTGGCACATTCACTAATTGTGAGGTCATTGGTGTAAATACGAGGTCATTGGCGTAAATACGAGGTCATTGGCGTAAATACGAGGTCATTGGCGTAAATACGAGGTCATTGGCGTAAATACGAATACTGAGCAAATTACAAAAAACCCCCATGCAGCCCAAGATGAGGCTCAAGCACATGTGACGGCGAGACTTACTTCCTGATTGGCCATGGTGTGATACCACCAGAACAGACGTGTAGTGATGTAATACGCTAGCACTACATCCACAGTGTAGTGGTCATGCGCGAGAAGAATGCAGAAAATTCCCACAACACTGAGAGTCCAGCAGATCCAGTGGTACCACCAGAATCTTTTAGGAGAATCTAAGATGCATAGGAATACATAAAGTCAGCGAGGCATGCTTTACGAAAACTGTCTTACATTGTTTATTCAGACAATTATTTATACTTCTGCCAAAGGGTGTTGTGCAGGTTGCAACATGACCACAAGGTGTCACTGCCGAGTCAGTAGCGTTCAAATTAAACAATAGGCTGCTCCAGTCTGAAACATTAAGGTCACATGGGCACTGTGATACTTACACTCTTTGATAAAGAGATAGGTGAGTGTTAACATGACAGTGTGGCCACTGTATAAGTAGTCCCCACACATGGTGTGGGAGCCTGTGATGGACAGCCCGCCTCCTGCAATCATCTTCATCACCCGCCGCATCTGGGATTCCCAGTCGCCGAACAGCTGCAAGAGAAATGCGTGTCGCCCCAATTAGCCTGACAGCCGGGGAGTGGATGACCGCCAGCTCTGGCTGAAATATTAAACTGGCATGTCAGGAATTCTGACAAAGAGGGGGGAAAACAACACACACACACTTGTATTTATATCTTTTGTGGGGACCGTCCATTCATTTCTATGGGAAAAAACCAAAAACTAAATATGACAACCTTAACGCCTACCCAGTCCAAACCTTAAAACAAAAAAAAACAAAACACTTCCGGCATTTTACATTTTTTGATTGCAGTCATGAAACTCAGTTTCCCCTTGGTACAAAGAGTCCCCACAAGGTACGAAGTTACAGGTTTTTTTTATCATATTGTGAGAAAAACTGGTCCCCACAATGTAATGATTATAAACACACACGGACAGGAAACAGACACAGAAGGAAGTGTCATATTTAAAATGCCAAAGTGCTGACAAATTATATATATATAAAAAAATTCTCTCTCATGGGTAGGTAACCCAAGACTGTGCCACTTAAAACATGACACTGCTAGGTTAAAAGTTCAATTTAAAGAATTAATCTTGTTACAATCACTTGCTAAATCGTAACTAATTATAGCCTGACGAGTGAGGCAGGCAGCGCAGGTAGTCTTGCAAACAGCTCCCGATATCAGTTGCATGTATCAACAGAGCAGCACATCAAAAGTGAACCAAGGCGAGAGTAAACCACACACTACAGTGCGAGTGAGTGCGCATGTGTGTGTGCGCGTGTGTGTGTGCGCATGTGTGTGTGTGTGCAGACAAACTTAAGCCGGGGAAGTTGCGATTTCCGAGCGAGCTTGGGTGCCAGCTCGTCTCACGTGTAGCATAAACATGGCCAGCGAACACACCCCGCCTTCTGACTCAGAACCAGCACAGCGGTAAAAGAACGTGCCAAGATGGCGCCGTCACTATTCACGTGTCACATGGCTTGAGACAGCCAGGGAACAGCGAGTCCAACCAGCGACTGTACCACTTGAAACTGATGATACCACTTTGCCAGAAAACATCTCTAAATTCTTCTACTTTTACGACCCAACAGGCAGATGTCATTAGCACTTTATATTCGGCCCTCTGAATCCATGTCCCCCAACCCCCACCCACAACCCATCCCTCCCCGAGGGGACAGGAATCATTCAAGCAAAGTGGGCATGCTCTGCAAGTGAGGCCCCACTAACCTAAAAATGATTCAGTGGAACGGTTTTATGTTCTGGAGCAGAAACAGAATGGAAAAAACCAGAAGCGCTCCAGGTCCTGGAGCTTCCACAGTTTGTGATGCCGGAACGCAAAACAAGGACGAAACGGGCGACTGCTGCAAAACCATCTCATTGGTGATATGCTTAATATAACGGCCCTGCGTCAGAAGCTCGCGGGGGTAAAACCCTTACTACTGTTAAACCCATACACAGGACCGCATTAAAGGAAAAAAAAACAGGTCATATAACTGACAGATGGCTGCAAATCCCGGGAACGCAGAATGCTAAGGTCACAGTATTACAGACAGACTGAGCACACACTCCTGTCACATTAAAACAAACCAAGATCTGGCAGGCTCAAGCGACAAAGGCTGATGGAAATCTTTGGACCGTATTAGCACATTTAAAGTTATAGTTCATGTACGTTAAATGTCTTACATAAGAGGCATAACAACAATGCACACTGATAAACATGGGGAGTCATAAATACTTTACTGCCATAAGTAAAATAAACTGGTTCTACAGTAAGCACACAAAAAGCTAAAACAAGCCAAAATCATCTTCAGGCTCAGAACAATCACATAACGAAAGGATTAATGTATGCTTTGAAACTCATTAAAAAAAATTAGCTTTACTTCTATATCCATTAACAGCATTTGTTGAGAAAAATATGGGAATTCTACATTTAAATGGAAAAAAATGCAATTATATCAGCATGGACATCCAAACCCCAGGCCACAAGGAGACCAGTTACCATTTTACCTTCTTCATTCTAATTGAACATTTTTATAGTTGTGACTTCACCTTGAACACCAAATGTAACTTCCAGCTGCTAGCTCGAGGTTAGCTAAACGACCAGGGTGACCACAGAGATCAACTGAGAATAGAAATGACGACGACATACCTTAGGAGAGCACTTGAAATGCATTCCCGGTACAGGTAAAGTAGTGATATACATGGTGATGCACCTGTACAGGTAGAGCGTGCCGACGATGAAGAAGAATCTCCGGCCGATGATGGATCTAGAGGGGAAAAGATGAGAGGCTTATTCGGGGGGGGGGACATAGTTCTCTGTGCTCCTGACAACCATTGGCTTGTAAGGGCGCCCCTAACCCTCACTGGCATGGCGTTGCCGGCGACGTACGTACTTGTGCTTCAGGAGCAGCCACTGCAGGAACCACAAGCCGACCAGCACCATCCCGTTGATCTCGCAGATGGAGAACGCCCACTCGACCCTGTTAAATAGGTCGAAAAATTTGTCCGGCAGCGGAGGGGTCTTCTCCTTGGCAGGAACGCGTTCATGGACCACCGAGATCATGAACGTGGTGAAGACAAAGCAGCAGAGCGCATACCCGAAGGCCACGCCCGTCTTGGCCCATTCCACGGGGTACTGTGTCCTCTCTGGCTCCGGCATGGGGATCTGCACCATCTCCTTGCGGAAGCCGTTGACGGTGCCATTCCCCCTGGCCTTGCTGCCCAGCGGCACAACGTGCCCGTTGGCGTGCCCATTTTTGTGAGCCTCGATGTGATGCTCGATCTTCAGCGTCTCGATCATGTCCAGGAGCTGTTGCCCACCATCGGAGGTGACGCGCGACAGAGGTGGTTTCAGGAAGTCCTCTTTCTCCAGATGCAGGAGTTTGTACCCGTTCAAGTTCAGGTTGGAGTACTCCACCAAGCCCTGCTCCTTAAGCCACGTGCTGACATCCTTCTCGGCCCACCGATCCAGTCCGCTCATCTCAGTCTCAGGCTGGGTTTAACACGGAGGGCAATGAGAGACAGCAGGAGAGCAGGCGTGTCTTGATTGGCATACGGTGCACGCAGTCCTGCCCAGGAAGTGCTTATTTTGTATCAAGGACATTGGTTTGAACACCTGGACAGGCCAGTCTCTCTCGACTAAACAAGAAGAGCTTCAGTTACCACAAAGCTTAACCCAACCCAGTATCACGTAGTGCTTATTTCAACCTACTTTCACTTCATTTTGCTACTTCTCAGGACGGAATCTCATTCCCTAAAAAGCAAAAGAAACCGGTTAGTTTGGGCTTTTTGTTACAAGCATGAAATTTATATATATCACATATACATAGGAATATACCATTTTGCTTTTGCTGTTAATTTACACATTTAACACACCTTTTCCTGTTTGAGATGTACTACATCAGTGGTTGACAACAGGTCGACCTCAAGGTTCTTCTAGTCACTAGTCCTCTGGTATATAGGCAAGATGAGATGTATAAAATCCTATATATAAAAGCCAAAATGTCTCTGCTTCTACTAGTATATATGGCACATTAAAACAGTTCAGCATCAGATCAATTAACTACATTATTCAATGCCTTCAAGCCCAGCCAAAACATGCCTTTCAATATACAGATAATCTTCAAAAATCTAACGAATAAATCGAGCCACTCGTGAACCACATTAGAGAGACGCACGACTGAAGGTGCCAGAACGTCTTACCGCGACAGTAGTATTTGTACAAGCAGTCATGCTTGGCAGTACTTTGGAGCCGTTCTGCTTCTAATGGTGGAGACGGAGGCTCCAAGGAGTTTCTCGGTTTGATCTTAAGGCGATCACCATCTTCTCTGACCGCAGACATTCAAACGCTTCACCTTCCGGCCATCACCGCAGCCGCGAGCCGAGTTGAACACTTAGTCTCGTTCAGTATCTATAAGCAACTTTAAATCCCGCTAGTATTACTGCCACTGTTTATCAGTACAAGACTAAAAGACGTCAAAGTAACAGGCAAACTGACCGATAGACCGATTGCGAGAGGAAAAAGTGAAACCTTGTAGCGGATCCCCCGGATCTAGGTGCGCGTGTGTGGAAAGCCCGTGACACGCCGCACCCCAGATTCACATGTATTTAATCCAGAGCAGCTGGAAGAGGCGCGCCCATCCTAAAACCACCATTCCTCCTGTTAAAAGCGAGTTACGATCCGCTACACGTACTTGGCGGTGCAGGTCAAGCAATCCCGGCACCTAGCTGCTTTCCAGCGAGCCGCCCCACAAGCCACAAGCAGCCGCGCAGATCGTGTGGATGCAGGGCTCAGTGTCCGCGATCCAAGCAGCCTCCGGAGGCTTGAAACCGGGGCGTGGCGTCCGGGTGGGGGCTGGGGTAGAGCCGACCGCCACCAAATGTTTTACTTTAAAAAAAAAAAAACCGGCTTTACGGATCCCTGTCGGGCCATATTCAGCGTCACTCCATGCAAAGCTCAACACACTTCGTTTTCAAACTGTTTTCAACTTCCTAAAGTTTTAAACTCATAAGAAAAGTAAATGCTTAAGTCAGTCACCAAAGTATATCCATGATTAATTAAAGGTTCCTTACCGCAGTCAGACAGGACACGAAGCGAGAATTTTTAATGTACACACAGAAGCAGCTTTTAAGCTGTGTGGTAAGGTCCGCAGGCTATGGGGTACAATCAATGACTAACACCAGGCAGTTAATATTTAAAACATGACACAAAGGCCTTGTGAAGCTCGATGTATTAACAACAGCGATGGTAGGAGGAGGAAATCATTCGAGTATATTTATTCCCAGCACTGGGACTGAATTTAACCGGTTCTCTCAAATATTATGTAATACAGACAGACAGACAGACACACGTATATATAGAATTTATAATATACAACTTAAAACTAGGGAAGTCTTCCACATTATACCTTATAATAAATAATTAACTTTTTTTTAAAGCGATGTTTCATTAACCCTTTCATTTTCTCCAAGAGCACCATGGCAACATTCCTCGACTTTCGCAAATTGCCACATTAACTAAATATAAACACATAATTTACACATTCACGCAAACACAAACGGCATCAGCAACAAATCCCTAGTGCGTAGGCGCGTCTGTTGGCCGCGGCTACCCTTCGACGAGGAGCTGACAGGAGAGCAAGGTCGATGCCTTACGGTTTGTACTTAGGCCGACTCTTACATTTATCGGGACAAGGAGATTATCTTCTGAAAATATGTCATCAATCTCACATAATTGTATAAATGCGCATTTACAGAATAATGGCTTACGGTATTGTATACAACGCTTTATTTTTGAAGAGCAGCATCAAGTCAGAAGCTCTTGTTACACAGTTCTAGACAAACCCTATTACAGACTGTCAGAAAAACGCTCCTCAGAATTCCCGCTCACAAAAAGTGTAACCGACCTTTTGATTTCCTTCGCAGCAATCGGCACACACACACACGGCCAAAGGCACATCAGCAAGTGTTTTTTTTCTTTTAAATGTTTATGCAAGTCATGCCAGTCAAGAGCGATTCAGATTTCGGGCCACGTATGCAATTTGAACTGTACCTTTGACCCATGTCGTAACTCTCATCACTACTGGTCAACCGCGGAGCAGAACGGAGAACACACCTCTCAGACTGACAACCAAAATATCTGAAACATTATAGCCCTATACAAAAACACAACTGTTACACCGCTTAAAAAAAAATCTATAATACAGCAAATGGAGGGTCCAACCATTTCCTCTTAATTTAAAAACTTACTTTCTCGGCTTTCAGTGAAAATCTCATAAAATGTATTATCATTCTTCAGTGAAAAAATAAATGAAAGAAAAAAAGTCACAGAAACAGTATTTGCCCACCTGGAAACCTTAAAAACTAGCATTTGACAATATTTGGAGTGGAGTATTTACTTTATCTGGCAAGTTCCCACACCAAACTTATATCAGGGGCATTATGGGAAGTCTACAATCTGGGTCCACGATAAGTGTGATTCAAATGGGCCAATCTCGCTGACCGAGAGATCACCTTATCAACATGCCTCGAACGGTCTGACGCACACAGTAAGTGTTCACTGGTGTAAAAGACGGATCCTTTTCTTCCTGGAATCCAACACTGCTGGGTATGACATCTCTAGCAGGGCAGAGATATTAGTCAGCAAAAGAATGTTGAAAATGCACTCACTCACCGGACACTGACGCTACAGATAACAGATTCAAGAGGGCCTTTTTAGCATAAGAAAAAACATTGGGTGGCATTTGATTTACTCATGTGTCAACTATTTCTTCAACCGTACCCGAAGAATCGCATCATATTACTATGAGCTAGAGGAAGCAGAAAATGACATCCAGCATGACCATGGTGAATGTGTCAGAATGAAGATCTTTAGTCTAAATTTGATTATAAACAAGTGTACATTTCTTCCACATTCAGACAGTTGTGAGGGTTTTTCTAAAATCACCTATCACCTACTCAGTATTCCAACTCTATGGAAATGCGGAGCAGTTCAAACTCTTCCAAGTTCTGGCCAAAACGGAGCTCCTAAACAAGAAAGTGTAGGCCGGAATTGTAAGAGTTTTCGTAAATAAAACGTGAGCCATAGAAAGCCAGCTCACTACAGTCCCAATCAATAAATCAATCAACAGCAGCAGCAAGCAGGAAAAGATAAATGTTGTTGGCTAGTCTCCTTTGTGTAGCACATTTGGATCATGCCCTGCCATTTCCCAACAGCTCAATCTGATCATTATAAAAATCCCTGAACAGAAACACAGAAGGCGCCTTTACTGCTCACAGAAAAGCTCAACACCACGCCCCCATTAAACAATCTATCAGTTTTCTATATGATCAAGTTTTCACTTTAAACTCTTGAAATGTATAACATTTAAAAAATACAGACACTCCTGAATTAATAGCCAATTTACTGACCGCCCGGACTTACGACCTGTTCTCTGACCAGTCGGTTTTGTACGCTGTACGAGAACTTTGGTCGCTGAAACGACAGCGCGGCATCTCATCTTGAATCACCCTCTCAGTCTCGGTCCTGCAGTTCCCTCGATTTCTTTGGTACATCGTTTTAACAATTTTTGCTGATTGCACTTTTGTGTTCTGTAAAATGTAAGAGTTAAATGAGGAGCGCCTGTATTTATTAGGTGCTGTCCTATAGGAGAGGACATTTGTACTGTTAGATGCCGGACAGCAGGCCACCAGCTGGTTTTCGGTGATCTTGCGGCTCCCCATGGGGATCGATTACAGATCAGCATCAGGCGCCTCTTTTAATAACACCCAGCTGACCTTAACTGGAGTAAGGTCAACTGGGTAGTCTTGAGGCATGTTCCCAAGGACAGGGAGGTTAGCGTTAGGGCGTGTGCAGTTTTGTTGAGGTCATTGTACGTTTTCATTTCCTGTTGATTAAGAAAAACGAGACTAATGAAGTTAAAAGCTGGTGTCCGGTGTCGAATTCCCAGCATCAATGCAGATCTCCACTCCGTGATTTCTCACAGTGCAAAGAACCGCCATACAAATGGTTTGACAGGAATTACTTTATTAATCAAGATAAGCAGTTAGAAGATGAATGGATGTGTATACAATAGGGGTGTAACAGTACACAGCATATTACTGAACCATTTCGGTCTATCCCAGACAGTTCAATACGCACAAGTGAACCGCAGTGTTACGATATGCCTGCCCTTTTCCTATACATACTGGCGTGAATTCAAGATGTATTATTTTTTTTGGTTAAAAAAAAAACCATCTAAAAAAATTGGGATCACCTTATTTTCAAGGGCTAGAATTTTAAAGTCAATATACAACAGCAGATGGCGTAAAATTACCTGCTTCCTAGCTAGAGGTAGCTGCATACATCAAAAGTAATCGACGTCGTTTCAGCAATGACGTATTAGCGGTGATCCCACCCGCTGTTGACAAATGGCTGATGTGACGCCGTGGGGCTGATCAGCAGCAGGCATAATTTGTACCGCGAATTAATGTGTATTCCTGTATTTACCGCGAGTCACGTTAATTGTTGGTTTCCTTGTCTGTGCCGCTGCTAGTAATAAACCGATAGAGGCTTTAAATATAGTATTTCATGTTAAAAAAAAAGCCTGTCATCTTTATTAGAAGAACTCAACCACTCGCAACACTGCCCCCCCGAGTAACTCAGAACAGACATTTGAGCTGGAGTTGAAATATAATAAATACACGGAATGGCATGAGGAGAGGTTTGGGACCTGGTGTTGATCTAGCCATCGAACTACATATCAATATAACATTTTGAATAACAGAAGTTGACAGTTTACTGTGATACTCTTAATTTGCATATGTTCTGATGTTACTGATTTTTTTCCCCCGAGTAAATATACAACTACCACCAAGATTAATAGCTTGAAACATTTCCTTTGACTGCCTAAGACTTTTGTAAAGTACTGTATTATCGTACATTATATCGGATATCCAGGATTATGAAATGACAAGAACTGAATAGGGGGAGAGGCTGGGGGAATTGGATTCAGCTTCTAAAGTTAGCTTCTAGTAAATAAAAAAAAATGGGGAATAAAGTGTGGCGACATGCATGTTGAATAAGGCTCACATGCGCAACATGTTTTCCTCCGACTACCCGCTGCTCAAGCAGCTTCCTTATTACGCGCAGACTGTCCTCTGATAAATACGATTCCTAAGAGGAGGATGCTAGGATTCAACTGCCTGGCAGTGCTACCGAAAAACGTGAAAACAGGTCGATCGATACTAATGTTTGTTTGCTGGTCTCGTCCAAACTTAGTTTAAAATACTCAGATTAACACGCGAAAGTTCAGATCGTGTAAAAAAAAAAAAAAAAAAAAAGTGGGGAAATTAAAGTTCATAGCGCGTGATACAAAAATCCCACAATAATCTTCGGACACGCTCGTTCAGCATTAGCGCGGATGTTTAAGAAACAAAAGCTTCGGTGTCCTAGCAGCAGGAATGGTAAATATCTAATTCTCAGATAAACAAACGCACACACGCACACCCGAGCTCCTCTAATCTACAAGCCCGCGTCGTAAACAAGGACACGCAGGCAGGATGAGCGCCGCTCTTCCGTCCATACCGCAGAAATAAAACCATCGGATGTGGGACTTACTTCAGTCTTGCGTCGGTTGGGGGAGTCGCTCCTCGTTATGCGAGGCAGTCCTGGGCGGGAGAGCGACTCCTGTAGCGGCTGTCGGCCAGCCAAGACAGTCAACTGCTCGTCCACATTCCAGCCGAACTATCGGGCCGCGGGGCCGCGCTGCCTGCCGGCCTTCGCTCCGCCCAGGCATCGTATTTTTTTTCCTCTGGGTTTAGACGAAACGCTTTCCTCGGCTAAGTTGCGTCACTCACGCTTTATATAAAAAAGGAGTTTGTAAAGCTTTATTATCCGCTATTTCATTTCCCGTTTAAAGAGGAAACACGGTACCGCTTGATACAGATTAGACTTCAAACCATATGCTTACAATTAAACCAGAGACAGAATTGCTTTTAGATGATATTTACAAATGCTAATACAACTCCTATTCTGCACTATATATAAGAAACTTACGATGCTATCTAAATAAAGAGCATCTTGAAGGTGTCATTGATGTTTAAATAACACTGTTTAATCAAGACTTAAGGCTTTCATCCTCCAGCATCATTACTGTGCCTATAATTTAGTTAAACAATGCGTAATTCAGAAGGAGTGGAATGTTTAAGGCGACAACACTTCCTCTTCTCACCTGTATTGCATTTCAGCAGACCCAAAGAGTCCCCTCTGCCAATATGCCAACACAGCAGCAGAGTTGGATGACCTGTGTCACACTTACTCCCAATGTTACACACTACAAATGCCTCAGTACAATAAAGCACTAGGAGGAGAAATCACATTTCTACTTAAGACAATCACTCTTAGCATTAAAAACTAAAATGGCTGCCCCTAAGGATGCACTGGGTTTAAATTTTAAATATATATTTTTTAAAAGTGTGAGCAGATATATACAGGTTCCTGGGCCTCGAGTTACACTGAAAAGTCACTCAAGGAAAAAGTAGAATCTGGAAAATCTCAATTGTTAATCATTAAGTGATTGCTAATTGTGATTTAAGGCACCTGGCTCATGAATGATTGCTTCAGTGCACGCACTGAATTACAGGTTAAACCAAAGGTGCAGCTGCAAGAAGGAAAAAAAAAAGCCACTTTTCCCATTTCACTGCGCAAAAATAAACAAAATGCAAATCACAACAAATAAGAATGCAGCAGTACAATTAAGGAAATCAGCCTATCCAGGTACCGGGAATTGGTCAGCCAATGTGTATTAAAACAAGCTTGTTTGAGCGCATTTTACATTGTATTTACTAAGCAGGTACTTTGCTCAGGGGCTCAATGGTGAAAACACTCTGCTGACCCCAGGATTTGAACAGACGGCCTTCTGAACAGAAGCAAAGCATCGTAAGGCTTGGCTCATACTTCACGTGAAAGCAGGCATAGCGCCGGACCGGCTGCAATCCTGAATGTTCGTCCTTCTGGTGCCAGCGTGCCAGGTCACCATGTACTTAGATGTCAGTTCTGGAGTACCGCTGTAGAGCAAAGATACTCTTAAATCGCGTGTGTGAAGTGTATCGATGCTACAAGAATAAATAAGAATATTAATAAAATGCCCAAAGTTAAACTTTAAAACCATAAAAGAGTACCACCACACCGCCAACGTCGCTTTACCTTGTTTATCCACAATATCTCCTCATTTAAAAAATGTTCTGGCTGTTGAGCTGTTCCTTTCTTCACCACCACTTCAGTGCTTATGGCTTCCATGATGTACCAAAACAGTAGCATGTGGCGTGCTCCACTAACCGAATTTAATAAACATAAGGATACGCTGAATTTATACAGATTATAAATTTATGGGCATCACAATAAGCCTCTCAATATTAATCTGCTTACAAAATTGTGGGCGCAAGTAAACATCCGTACAGCACCGAAAAACCAGCATCCTGTCAAATGTTTACACCCTTCATCTAAAGCCCAGGTAATTATTGTACATGCGCCCTATAATCTCCATGTGATATCGTGTAGGCCCTAGCCTGTAACTCTGATCAAGTACTTTTAAGGAAACTATTAATAAATATTGTCTTTATTGAAACATTTCATTAATCAGAGATTTGTGAATTTACAATAACATACTTAAGCAATACAATCAAGCAAACAGACTTCAGAGTTTTAAATATAAATGAAAAACGACAAAAAAAAAACCCCACAAAAATCTGCATTAGTCTAAAATGGTTTAACGGATAACACCACTAAAACCACAAATTGTATCTTTATTGTATTGTTTATTACCTTGCAGAATAGCCATTAGGCTTTACTTCATATATCCAGCTTGCGGATTACCAAGCTACTCTGTAGTGATGTCCAATTTGTAAATGAATTGTTTTGAATTTTTTCAATAAAATCAGTCAAACCTGAGTGTAAGAGACCGAACGAGCCAGTATGAGCAAGCAGGGAGTAACAGAAACAGCCATCATGTGATCTCTCTCTCACACACACACACACACACACACACACGAAGGGGTACTACAGACAGTCTACGAAAAGCAAATGTAATTAGATTAAAGGTTGCCATGTTTTTTTTTTTTTTTTTTTTTTAATATGCTGATGTGTCAAAATTTTTTAGAATCTAATACTTTGACCTGTACATTGTTAAATTGACCTGTACAAGTAGAATTTTTAGATTTGAAGAACTGGTTTGACTGATTCACTGAAAAGAACCGGTTCATATGAATGATTCATTTATGAATCGGACATCACTAGCATGAACCATCCTTAACCCGATGAGCCACAACCCCTGCTTTCGGAGCAGTTTCAGTTATGGAACTGCGTTAAATTGTATACTACACATCTGATAAGTTTAAAAAAAAAACATGGCACATTTAGATTTCTACTGGCCCGCAGGCTGCTCCAACGTTCATTAGACATGACTAGGCAATGTGGGGGTAATAAGATCAAGAATTTCATTGTGTAAAAAGGTACAAAAGGTTAAAATGTACAATAATTTAATAACATAATGGCACATAATGCATGCTTATTTTATGAGCATTTGTGCCGTTATGGCACAGAATCCTGATGCATTTTACCCTTTATACTGCGAATGCATATTTGCACCAGTTGTGTAAAATTGCTGCCAATAGGTCTGACACAAGCATTATTGAATTACCAACAAATCGTCATGTGCCCATGGCATTTGGGTGGCGCGGTGAGCAGTGGCGCCCCCTTTCTGCCTCTGCTCTGCGTGCACAGAGTTTGTGTGCTCACCCCAAGCCACGTGCCCCCCCCCCCCGCAAAGTCCTCCGATTTCAGCCCTAAGTCCAAAAGCATGCATGCTGAAACACTCCCTCTTAATCATCCTTAATGTGTGACTGTGTGTGTGTGTCCCTTGAGATGGACCGGCATGCTGTAACAGGGATTCCCCTGCCTCACGGTTCCTGGAATGGACTGCAGACTCAATGTGGACCTGTACTGCATAAATGGCTGTGAGATAGATGGGCCCCATAAAGTATTATTCACAACTAGTAGAGACATCAGCGAGGTCAGAGGAGATGTTTACATGTGACCACTATAAATCTCTCTTTGAATACCTGAACTGTAAAGTGAAAATAAAAAAGGTATTTACACCAGACTGTCTGGAGTAATTGCAAGTTCTTTGAAGACTTATCTACAAATATAGTACTGTGCAAAAGGTTTAGGGAGTGAAAGGAAATGTTTAAAAGGTATTTATCTGGGCAGAAGGTATATATTTGCTCAGCAAAGGAAAAAAAATGTAACATATGCAAAATTTAGTGACCCTATGAAAACTTGCAACAGTTTCTTCTGTTCTCGAAAACGTTACGGACATCTTGTTGGATGGCTAGAACTTCAGTTCCCAAACCTCTCCTCAGGGGCACCCAAGCCATTCCATGTGTTAAAATTTCACCACCAGCTCACTACTTAGTTAAAAAAAAAATAATAATCATAATATATATTTTTATGGTGGGGATGGGGTGCTGCTGACCTCAACCCGGGACGTTTTGGGTCGGTGGAAGGAATACTTCGAA